CCATCCATCGTCCAATGGTCTGGTGGAAAGAGCAGTCCAAACGTTGAAGGTAGGCTTAAAGAAACAGCTTACAGCTTCACTCGACACCAAACTGTCCCAGTTCTTGTTCGATTATAGGACCACCCCTCAGGCAAACACATGGATAGCAACCAGCAGAGTTACTGATGGGGAGAAGACTCTGCACCAGGTTAAACATGATGCTCCTGGACCTGTGGGAGAGGTTGAAATGGAAGCAGGAACACCAATGCCGCCACATGCTTCCTCTAAGCGAGAGAGACAGTTCACTTCAGGGGGTGAAGTTTGGTGTCAGAATCATGGAAATGGCCCTGCACGGGTATGAGGCAAGGTCAGCGCGAAGTCGGGTCCCATGACATTCAAAGTTTGGGTGGCTGAGGCAGTCCAGATCAAACATGTGGATGACCTGAAAGCTGCTACCTCTCAAACGGGGCAGGAACAATACATATCAGGCCCCTCAGAACAAGAAGGCCTGTCAGAAACCATGGGCTGTCCCTCTTCGTCTAGTATCAAGTAAAGCTCAGAGTACGAGATGGATGCAGCCTCGATACTGTTACCACCAGAAAAAGAGGAGGAAACTCTCCTGCAATGGTCCGGACGCGAGAGATGGGCTACAGTCTGATACACACCGCCTGTATCCAAGTCAGAGGAATTGAACCTGGGGCAAAAACGTTGCATTAGAAACTATCTGAGAAAGACGAGGCCTACATCCCCAGACTTAGTGAGAGAGAGAAATGTAGTGATTGGAACCAAGTGGACCTTATTGACAATGAGATCTTGGTTGGGTTGTTAACCTGGGCCAATCAGGGAGCCTTGACTGGCAGATATGAACAGAGGACTCAGAGTCTTCTCACCTGACTTCAAGCTGGCTGGTTACAGCGAGAGTACTGTGGCCAGGTAAATAAAGGGTGAGTTGGTGACGAGATACTAGCCTCTGTGCAGTTATTTCAAGATCATTGATAGGTCATTCTTTTTGCAAGAATGAATATTAAAAATAATGGCCTCAAGCAGTCATGAACATGACTTGTTTACAGTAATTGCCTCCTTATCATGTCAGATAATAATATAATCAGACACTAATTTATAAGTCTGATCGGCATTTGCCATTACTGAATCACATTTCACACCTGACACTGGAAGACAACATTTTGGGCCAGTTACATTCTCACACTGAACTCTAAGCTTCTAAGGGCATGATCTGTGACAATCAAGAGTGGCTTTATTTGGGAAGTGGGTATCACGGTGGCAGAACCCCAGAGTAGTTGATGAGAACCTAATTAAAACCTGCTTCCAGAGTGAATGAACTGTGTTTGTATTTCATTTCAATGTGTAACTTTCAATTGATTCTGCGGTCTTGTCAGTCCAAAGCAAAATGGGCTTGAGTATTTTAGCAGTACATGAATTTATAGATACTTCTAATCAACCTATTCAGATATGTTATCCTACTCACAGTTGGGGAGAAAACAGCAGTTGGTGAAACGGGACAGTTACCTCTCTTGGCGCTAAGGTTAGGCAGCTTTTAAAGCTTCAGTCAGCATATGATATCCAAGGGTTGTGCAGTGATATCTCTCATGATAAGCATCAGGTTGAGAGAAACTCTGAGGTAACTCATCATCACCCTTCGATCATCAATTAACCTTAATTTTTTCATAATTTGCGTAGACGGCTAAATTGCCCTGAAATGCTCGAGATCCTTTAGGACCGTGTTTAACTGGGGAGATGCCGTGCTTTAGGAATAGGAGTAGGCCATTTGGCCTCTCGAGTCTATTCCATCATTCAGTAGGATCATGGCCGATCTGACATGCCTCACACCAACTTTCTTGCCCTTTCCCCAGAACCTTTGATTCCCCTGTCTACCCAAGAGGAAGTGTCTCCAGAGGACAGGGTTCCTTGTTCCCCTCTTGCCTTGCCATTGATGCTGAGCACCCGTAGCTACAGTAATGGAGTGCATTGCCTTGTTATAGGACGGATATTATCAAGCTGGAGAGGTTTCAGAAAAGATTCAGTAGCATGTTGCCCCCCCCCCCCGCCCTCCCTGGGAATGGAAGATTCAAGTTATAGGGAGAGGCTGGATAGGCTGGGATTTTTTTCACTGGAGCATTGGAGGTTGTGCAGTGACCTTACAGAGATTTTTAAAATTGTGAAGGGTAAAGACAAAGTGAATGGCAGGTGTCTTTTCCCTGTAGTGAGGAATTTCAAAACTCGGGGGCATATTTTTAAGGTGAGAGGAGGAAGATTTAAAAAGGACATGAGGTCTAACTTTTTTACACAGAGAGTGGTTCATGAGTGGAATGAGATTCTAGAGGAAGTGATGTTTGTGAATACAGTTACAATGTTTAAAAGATATTTGGATAAGATAATGAATAAGAAATGTTTGGACTAATTTAGTTTGGAATTATCATCAACATGGACTGATTGGACCGAAGGGTCTGTTTCTGTGCTGTATGACTTTATGACTCTATAGCTATTCTAATCCTATTTTCTAGCATTTGACATATAGCCTTGTACGCGTTGACATCATAAGTGCACATTTAAATACTTCTTAAATGTTATGAGGTTTTCTGCCATTACCATCAATATAGGCAATGAATTGCAGATACCCACCAGCCTCTGGGTGAAACAGTTTTTCACTCAAATCCACTCTAAACCTTATGCTCCTTCCATAAATCTATGTCCCTGCTCATTGATCTCTCCATCAAGGGGAAGAGTTTCTTCCTGTCTATCCTTTTTATGCCCCTCGTTATTTTATACATCTCAGTCATGCCCCCTCTTAATCTTTTCTGCCGAAAGGATAACAACCCCAGTCTATCCAATCTCTCTTCATTACTGAAGCTCTTATCAGTCTTGGTGAGAGGCTTGTGAAGTGGCAGAGTTAAATGAGTGATGAGTGTAAGATTGTAGAAAGAAGATGGTGGCACTTACCCTTGCAAAGCACAGAAGATCACAAACTGCATTGTTGTGTGTAGTGTTTCACTAGGGACACTTACACTGACCCAGGCCACTATCTTGGTCAGGCTGGCTAGGTCTGTGGCATGGCTAAAGCTCTGCCCCTACTTTCCTTCACCCCATCCACTGACACCTTCAGGTCCCTGTAACTGAACCAAGGAGCTAACAATCCTTTCTAGGACATTTTCTTTGGGATAACAGTGACGGGGAGTTAAAAACCAAAAGAACTGCGGATGCTGTAAATCAGGAACAAAAACAGAAGTTGCTGGAAATGCTCAGCAGGTCTGGCAGCATCTGTGAAGAAAAGACCAGAGTTAACGTTCGGGTCCGGTGACCCTTCCTCAGAACTGATGGTGGCTGGGAAAACACCAGTTTATTTGCAGAAAATAATGAGGGGTTGAGGTAGGGAGTAAACGATAGGAAAGAGCCCAAAGAGAGAGAAGAGCAGTTGGATAGACAAAGGAAGTGATAACGATCTGGCTAGGAGGGTGAACACAGATTAATGGGGACCATTAGTGACTAACAATAGGTAGTGTGTAATGGCAGGCTATGTGATAACATGGCCTGGTGTGTGGGGTAGGGAGCTAGGACATGGGAGAGTTTAAGCCCTAAAATTATTGAACTCGATATTGAGTCCGGATGGCTGCAGGGTCCCCAAGTGGAAAATGAGGTGTTGTTCTTCCAGCTTGCATTGAGCTCTGCTGGAACACTGCAGCAAGCCAGAGACAGAGGTGTTATCCGGGGAACAGGGTGGTGTGTTGAAGTGACAGGCAACAAGTAGCTCAGGGTCTTTTTTGCGAGCAGAACGTAGATGTTCTGCGAAGCAGTCACCCAGTCTACACTTCGTTTCCCCAATGTAGAGGAGACCACATTGTGAGCAGCGAATGCAGTCGACTAGATTCTGGGAAGTGCAGGTGAAGTGTTGCTTCACCTGGAAGGTATGTTTGGGCCCTTAGTTAGTGGGGAGGGAGGAGGTAAATGGGCAGGTGTAACACTTCCACCAGTTGCAGGGGAAGGTGCTGAGAGGCTGTAGGGAGGGGGAGGTGTTGGGGGTGAAGTAAGAGTGGACTAGGGTGTCCCAGAGGGAACGGTCCCTGCGGAAGGTGGATAAGGGAGGGAAGGGGAATATGTGTCTGGTGGTGGCATCTCGCTGGAAGTGGCGGAAATGACGTCTGATGATCTTCTAGATGTGGATGCTGATGGGATGGTAGGTAAGGACAAGGGGAACCCTTTTGTTGTTGCGGGAGGGAAGAGAAGGAGTTAGGGCGGAAGTGCAGGAGATATGTCAGACCCAGTTGAGGGGAGTTCCTGGCCTGAAACTGGTTTGCAGCTGAGGTTTAAATATGGCATCCTCGGCGTAAACAGTGCAAAATCCCAGCAACCGCAAATGAACACTTTTACTCTCCCATGGTATTATTCTATAAAATGAGTGCCGAAGCCTAATTTATGAAATGAAGAGCAGAAGATTGCATGATGAAAGTAAACATTGGCCATGGCAGACCACCTGCCATGAATGCCCTTTAGACACTTTGCCAAATAAATGGAAAACTCAGCAAAGATTTTACACGTATAACTGCCTGAATACCTTTTCTGGGATACAGTTCCAAACAAAATTATTGCCTTTAGCGTTCCATTTGCCGATTGTGGAAATTCACTGAACGCCTGAACCCCAACTACTCTGTCTACCATCACAACTATCAACTGCATCACCCCAAACACCAAATGTACCACCAAACTAATATCTGTAATACCCAACAACTAAACCACTTCAGTTACCAGTTAAATTACCACCTTCAGCACAACTAACATTATGCCCCAGCTACCATTTGCCAAACAGTATCTATATTCTTTACTCTTGTAGTTTGTAATTATAGATTTGCAGATGGTAGTTGGGTGTTACAGATGGGAGTTTGAATGATTCAGAGGGTGGTCATGGTACTGCAAACTGTAGTTAGTGAGTGACAGATGGTAGTTTGGGTGATAGATCTTTAAAGAATAAGTATTAAGTCAATATAAATCACAAAATGAACAAGACTCACCAGTTCACCATCAAAATGAGAGTATGTTTTCTCATCTGAGGTGTCCTGACCAGTTGAACTATGGAAGGACGGTTCACCTTTTCATCATTCTTCTCCATGGTAGTTGCCTGGAAAAAGAAAAGAGACTAAAAATATTGTAGGTAGCAAATTGTAGTAAACATGAATCATTTCAGAGTTGATTCTAGTAAATAAATTGATGACTGCAATCTGTAAACTATGATCTACTCTCCAAAGGGATTGAAAAAGACTGTTGTAAAATTTGGTGTTATATAAAAAAAAGTTTCAGTTCAGAATTAAGTGACTGTGTTCCAGTATATCTGACAAATGACCCCATTATGTCAAAACCATACCCTTGACGAAAGCACAATTGAACTACATCCTTAAAGTAAGTTGCCAATTTTGAGTTTGAATGTCAGAAGAACCTGTCACTACATTGTTTTGCTTTTTAAATCCATTTCTTATGGCAGTCATGTTTTTATTGTAAGCTAACACATTTTGAGCTATTTCAGCCATGAACCTATCCTTGCATGGTGCTAGATTGAAATTTTGCTGGAACGTTTTTGAACTTTTGACATCCTTTAGCTGGGGTGTTAAAGATGTAAGTTGTGCTAAAAATGGCAGGTGGTGTGATAGTGGATCAGGAGCCTTGAGATCATGAGTTCAAATCCTACTGTAAACTTGTGAATTATAACAAATCTGGTTAATGTAAAAAAAATCCATGAAATCTAGGTTTAGAAGAATGAGAGATGATGGAATTGAAACATATAAACTTCTTAAGGGGCTTAGCTGAGAAGATGACTCCCTGGATTGGGGAAACCTAGAAAACATGGCTTCAGAATATGGATTCAGCCATTTAGGACTGACATGGATAAGCTTCCCTCCTCCTGTAGGGGCCTCCTGGCGTGGCATGTTGGAGTATGGAACCAGGGGCCGGTGCTGACTGGAAGCTAAGTGCCAGCATGATCTGCTGCACTGAACTCTTTTCTGTAATGCTGGACATTTTATTTCTTTATTGTCTAAAATCTTGGAACAACAGAAGCTGTGCCTAGATAGCTTTATATGTAAGTTGGCGCTGTAATTGTCGACATAGAAACATTTCACTATACTCATTGAGTACATGTGACAATAAAGGCTATTCTATTTTCTTTGGAACAGAGGAGGTTGAGGGTGTACTTGATAGAGATATACAAGATTGTGAGGGGCATGGACATGGTGGATAGAAAGCAGCAGTTCTTCTTAGCTGAAGAGTCTAATAACAAGAGGGGATACTTTTAAGGTGAAAGGCAGGAGGCTTAGAGGGAAGTTGAGGAAAGGCTTTTTCACCAAGAACTACCTCCAATGAAATAATACGTTTTCTTGAATAAAGGGACCAAAACTGGTCACAATACTCCAGATGTCCTCTCACCTACTTTTGCAATAAGATTTCCTTACTTTTATACCTCAACTGCTTTGAAATAAGGGCCAACATTCCATTAACCTTCCTGATTACTTGCTGCACCTGTGTTCTAGCTTTCTGTGTTTCATGCACGTGTACCCCTAAGTCACTTTGCATAACAGCTTTCTGCAGTTCATCTGCATCTCAATAATATTCTGTTCTTTTGTTCTTCTTTCTAAAATGAACAACTTCACATTTTCCCACACTATATTCCATTTGCCAACTTTTTTTTGCCCACTTACTTAACCTAACTATCTTTCTGTAAACTGTATCTCTCTTCAACCTATTTTTGTGTTGTCTGCAAAGTTGGCTACAGTTCATTTGCTTCCTTCCTTCAAGTCATTAATATGAATTGTAAACAGTTGTGTTTCCAGCACTGAATCCTATGGAATCCCACTGGTCACAGGTTGCCAACCTGAAAAAGAACACCATATCCCCAGTTGCTGTTTCCTGCCCATTATCCAAATCTCTATCCATGTCAATATATTACCTTCAACACTGTAATCTTTTATCTTATGACTTACCACCTTTTGTGAGATACCTTGTCAAATGCTTTCTGAAAGTCCAAATACAACATATCTACTGGTTTCCCTCTATCCACACTGGCTGCGACTACCTTGAAAAACTCAAATAAATAGTCACATACAATTTGCCTTTCATGAAACAATGCTGACTCTGCTTGATTTTATTATGATTTTCCAAATGTTCTGCTCTTACTTTGTTAATAATTGATTCCAATACTTTTCCAACAATTGATGTTAGGCTAATTGGCCTATAGTTACACATTTTTTGCCTCCCTCCCTCCCAGTGTATGAGTTTTCACTTACTTCCACTGTAAGACTTTTTGCTGTTGTAAAGTATTAGAAATGCTGGCTGCTTGTTAGGAAAAATAATAAAACTTTCATTTGCCATAGGCATGAACTACGCCTGACCATTCATACAGTTTTGAGCCCATATCTATAAAAGGATGTACTGGCCTTGGAGCGGTCCAGAGGACGTTTACAAGAGTGAACCCAGGGATAAAATGCTTGTCACAAAAGGAACGGTTGAGGACTCTGGGTCCGTACTCGATAGAGTTTAGAAAGATGAGGGGGTATCTCACTGAAACTAACAGAATATTGAGAAACCTGGATAGAGTGGATGTGGAGAAGATGTTTTCACTAGTAGGAGGGATTAGGACCCGATGGCACAACCTCAGAGTGAAGGGATGCCCGTTTAGAACTGGGATGAGGAGGAATTTCTTCAGCCAGTGGATGGTAAATCTGTGGAGACCAAGTCATTAAGTACATTTAAGACAGAGCTAGATAAGTTCTTGTATAGGAAAGGGAGCAAGGGTTATGGGCAGAAGGCAGGAGAATGGGCTTGAGAAACATACCAGACGTGATTGAATGGTGGGCAGACTTGATGAACCGAATGGCCTAATTCTGCTCCTGTATTTTACAGCCTTATGGACAGGAATGCCCGGAATTATCTCTGCATTGCATTAGGCTCATCTAAGTTGATGGCAACTTTAGTTTGCAGGCTGAACATGTATGTAGAATCACAGTCTCAATTTCATTCCCATATATCCTAGTCACCTCGGCTTTCATTGAAAGTGTGTGGCCATTCCTTTTTGCCACCTGCTGCAGAATTTTCATGGCTTCTTCATCTTTCTTCTGAGACAACATCCACCTGGGAGACTCTGGAACCAACCTGCAAATTGAACATAACTGGGGTTATCTCTAGCCGATACCACTTAGTGCACTAAGTAGCTAGTGTACATCAGTAACTACTGATGCTAATCAGACATTACCAGTAATAGGTCAAGAAGAGGAAGTTTGGAATGGTTATCGCCAGTTGCAAGTTTCTCCAGGCTGGTACAAAATAGGCAATAGCAGGAAGAAGCATGATCCCAAAACTAAATGACACTTGGTGTAAAATTCCTGCTGTTCTTCTGTAACCTGACACAACAAGTTCAGTTACTGGAACAAAATAAACACATTTCAGTGAAGGAATGGGAATACCAAGAGTTGACACTAAAAACCAATACGTGATAATTGAACTATTTCTAACAAGTAATCAACTAATACATGTGAATAAACGCTAACAGGCAGGAAAAGACAAGCAAGTTGGCTCCAATTAGCTGATTGGAACATCATAACAAGATAGAACCCAGTTTGAAATTTGTTGTGACCCCTCGGTGGGGGTGAGGAGAGGAGAAGACCTATAAGAGCAGACGTCAGAGGGGTCAGTCATTGTTGTCTCCTAGTTCACAACCCCAAAGTCTCAGCTGCCATACATATTTGGTGTCCCAGCCTCCAGTTTGAGAAATCCTGGCATAATCATATGCTAGTTTTAACAAGCGTCATTGTTTGGATTATTTATTGAACATAAGGTCTATTTACCAGTGACAGTCTATTCAAATATAAGTAAAAGAAAGATCTTACTTAAGACGTAGCTGCACAGCCAACCTCCCCTGCTGAATAGGCCTTGAAGAGTACGGAAGATCACAAACCAGGTGTAGTTTGGGGAAAAAGCCAGTAGAAGACCTGACACTGTGGTCACAAAAGTTGCAAATAAGAAGCAAAGCTTCCTGCCAAATCTGCAACAAAATGAATTTAACCGAGAAATAAAAAGAAAATTACATTAGTATCCAGATTTTTTAATCAGAATTAAAGTGAGGGTGATACATACGTGTCTGCTGCATAGCCCATGATTATTGTTCCAAACATAAAACCCACGTTTAGACAAGCTTGAGTCAGGTCCACTTTCCAAGCATCAGCACACACCAGTTCAAACTGTACAAATTGTGGAATCAGACAAATTAAATTATAGAAAACACACATATATTTTACTGCATCATTTGAATTTAATTTCTACATTATGCACAGTACCGTGCATATAAGAAGTTAATAGAGATATTATAATATTGGAAAGAAGAAACAGTTAGAGTCATTCAGTCCACCACATAAAAATACAAAAACGATGGGATTCATGAAAAAAATGGAAAATGCTGGATACTCAGGTCAGTCAGGAGCTGTAAGGAGAGAATGGAAATAGAACTTCAGGCTGATAGTTTGATTTTCTAGTGAATGGTCATTAGCCTGAATAGCTACTTCTTTTCTCTTCCCAGATGTTGGCAGCCCTCAGCATCCAACATTTTCTGTTGCCATTTCAGATTTGAAGCATTCCCTGTTTTCTGTGTTTCAATTTGTATTTATTTGGCCCCTTTACCATAATAAAACACCTCAAGTCAATTCATAGAGGTGTGAGGAAACAAAATATAACACCTTAAGCCACATTGATAGGTTTTAAGGAGTATCTTAAAAGGGAAAATCAAGGTAGGGAGGCAAAGAGTTGAAGAGAGGGAATAGAGCTCATGGCCTAGGCAGTTGAAGGCATGACCACCAGATGTGGATCATTTAAAATCAGGAATGCTGTAGAGGCCAGAATTAGCAGGATGTTACCGGGACTGGAGTGTTTGAGTTATGAGGAGAGGCTGGATAGGCTGGGACCTTTTTTCCCTGGAGCGTGAGAGGTTGAGTGGTGACCTTATAGAGGTATATAAAATCATGAGGGGCCTAGATAGGGTGAATAGACAAGATATTTTCCCTAGAATAGGAAGTTCAAAACAAGAAGGCATAGGTTTGAGGTGAGAGGGGAAAGATGAAAAAGGGACCTGAAGGGCAAATTTTTCATGCAGAGAGTGGTGTATGTATGGAATAAACTGCCAGAGAAAGAGTTAGATGCAGGTACAGTTACAACATTTAAAAGACATTTGGACAGGTACATGGATAGGAAAGGTTTAGAGGGATATGGGCCAAACGTAGGCAAATAGGACTAGTTTAGTTTGGGAAACCTGGTTGTGTGGATGGATTGGACCAAAGGGTCTGTTTCCATGCTGTATGATTCTGACTCTAGAGGAATGGAATATAATAGAATAGAAAAACATTGTCACCTGTACTTTTATACAAAAAAATACAGAGGAAAGTTTTATAAGTCGCCCCATCACAGCTCCTACATCACTGATAGAAGTCATACATAATAATAAAAAAAAATAGTTAAGACAAAGATCATCATAGTTCAGTTAACGGCAACTGGGCTCGTGGAAAGCCAATTAAGGAAAGATGGAATACACTGAAGATGCAGCCAGGACAAGACTGCCATCTGGGATGAGACTATGATTCTACGATGGGAGTGCCTGCTGTGCCACTAGAATGCTGGGCCACTAGAATACGGAGCCGGAAGTGTCCGCCAAAAAAGACAGCCTGCTGGGCCAAGGCTGCCACTCCTGGACAAGACCACGTGCCAGACCACTGGAATACCTTGACGCCGAAGATGAAGAAGACCTGCATATGGGGACAAGACCTACATGCCGGTACAAGACAACCATGCCAGGCTGAGACTGCTTTTCTCCTCCTTCAGGCACCCAGCCTTAGCTGTGGGCCTGGAGCCTCAGCCTAGCCTGCGAGTCCAGGCCGGGGAAGTCAGCCTGGGACCTGTTCCTTGCTCACTGGGAGACCCTGGGCTGGGGTGGAGCATGGCCGGCTTGTCCTGGGATTGCTGCCACTGCTACCCAGAGGCCTCCTCCTTCACCCGCCGGTCTCCAGGCTTAAAACAAAAGGAAACGAAGAAGAAAACAAGAAAAGACAAAGAGATAAAGTAAAAAGAAGAAAAAGAAAAGGAGTTCATGTATCTCAGAGCACAGAAGGGCTGGAGGAGATCAGAGATAAAAAGGTGATGTTAAAGAGGCAAAACAAGGATGAGAATTTTAAAACAGGTGTTAACTAATTGGGAGCAAGTGTAAACAGAATTGATGAGTGAATGTCATTTGATGCAAGTTAGAACATGAGCATCAGAGTTTTAAAAGACCTCAGTTTTGCCAATGATAGAAAGTATGAGATCGGCCAAGATTTCATGAACTAGCCAAGTCTAGAGATAACATAAGCATGGACGAGAGCTTCAGCAGTAGAAAAGATGGCAGAGATTAGCAATTCTTCAGAATTAGAAATGGTGATGATGAGGACATGTGATCAAAAGACTATCTTGGGGCTAAATATGACACTGAAGTCACAAAACAATCGAGGTCAGCATTAATAGTTATCGGAGGAGGTATGGCATCAGTGACATGGGCATGGAGTTTTTGGTTTCAGTCTCCCCAGTAATTATTTGGATCATTTCTGCTCATCCAGTACTTGATGTCAGACAAGTGATCTGACAGCTTACTGACTGTGGAGGGTTTAAGTGACATGGTGGTGAGGTAGAGCTGGGTGATGTGTGTGCACATATGGAAATTGATGTTGATACTCTTAAATAACCTCTCTGAGGGCTAGTTTGTAAATGAAAATGGGAGGGGGCCAAAGATAGATCCTAGGGAGATATTAAAGATAGCGGGAATGGAAATGTAGGATTGGAGGGGAGATCAGGAGCAGAAAGGCCATGGAAGAATTTGAAAACAAGGTTGATAATTTTAAAATTCCTGGACCAGGAAAAATGTAGATCACCAAATGGAAAAATAAGGGAATCTTGGAACAAGTTATGATACAGGCAGCAGAGTTTTCAATAAGCTTATGTTTGCAAATATTGTTTTCCACAATCAACAATACTGTACAATGGTGCAAATTATACACCTTTTTAATAATATTACAAAAACTCTCATGTCTCATCAATATATCAATACAGGTCAGTTTTAATTGCTAAATATTCAACAACCCAAAGACAACACCTAGTTCCAAGTATGATCTTTCTGTCCCAATAACTTGAGATGCTTAAGGTGCCAACACTTGACAGAGAGCTGAGAAAGCATAAAATAAGAAAAGGCCATTGAACCTTTACATTTACAGCTCATGCATAATCTATCCAATTGTGTGTTCTATGTGACCTGTCTATTTAACTTTCTATGCAAAAGTATCTGCCCATCACCAAAACCAATTTATCAAAATTCAATTGATCCCTATTGACTCCATGGAAAGCACTGATGGTTTCATAAAGGAATTAGCACTTTGTGCATTGAAATCATATATCAGAGATGAACATGCAATCCGTGCTGATGCACCCAGTGAAGTACTGAGAGTGAACTGTAACATTGGAAATCTGCCTTCTCAGATGGATGTAAAAAGAGCCTATTACAGTATTTCAAAGAACACCAGGGCATTTTCCTAATGTTCTGACCAATATTTTTCCTTTAATTGATGAAACTAACAGAAGCAGATTTTCTGCTCATTATCAACTACTGTTTTATGTTGATCAATGTAGGCATAGATTGGCTTCAGTGTTTCCTAGATTACAAGTGATTACACTTTAAAATATCCTCAACTACCTGCAAAGCATTTCGCGTTTGTGAAGTGTTTTACAACTATGGGTCTTTATTTCACTGTAATGCTTTGGAATTCTGCTCTAAGACAAGTTTGATAACTGACCAAAATTTAAACATACCTCAGTCACAATACTGGGGAATGTGCCATTTTCAAAAACCCACCCATCTTGGCATGTTGTAAGTGGTAGATCTTGGGATCCATTCCGAATAAACAGCAGTGGATTTTCACAGCTGCCTGAAGAGGAATTCCAGTCAATATCGTATTTCTCGCACTGACTATATGAGGAGCTGCCAGATTGCCCCACAGGTAACGTATAATTCTTCTCCTGTTCCAGAGACCAGTTGCATTTATCTCTCAGCTCAGTCACCCCAGGACTCCTGCACCAATGGTCAGGAGTAACTGCTAAAAAAACAAATCCAAAGTACAAATGGGAGAACATCATCGATGACAGATATATCAGAAAGAAAACCACCTTTTGATATTGTCCAAAACCCCCTATTTGCACTAAAACATCATCAAAAGTCGCCATTGCAAAGGAGAATTTCCAGCCAGAACTCAATAGAAGAAGCTTCTGATGGGGTGAATGTATCCACAGATCTGTTTATCTGCAGACTATCAGCAGCTTTGTATTCTAGCAAATGCCTGGAGAGCAAAGGTCTACAAATTAACAGCATAGATCAATGGTTTATTCTGTTAATAAGTGAATAGAGAAGCTACTTGTCACATTTAGGATGGAGATAATTTACTTCAAACCTGAAGTAAACAAACAAATATCAGTGATTCCAATATTGTAAAAGTGAAAAATAAATCAATTTGGTTTGGTATATGAATTACTTGATTTTAGCTCTCGTGTCCTAATTTCTCAGTGGCTACTGCAGTCCTTAGTGAATCCTGCACCGTTCGAACTGTCATCTTTCCAATTACACATTCATCCAAAACTCCACTTGACCTGTTAAGTGAATGTGAAAAATTCTGCAGCCCCATTTAAAGAATTGCAGATATGACCTCCCCAGTGTCCTGGATTTTATTAATTCTTCAATCGCACTTAAAACAAAGTTTTTAAATATTCTCTTTGCTGTTTGTGGGACCTTGTTGTTCATAAATTGGCTGTCACTTCTTCCCATATTGTAACACTTATATGGTTCCTAATCATGAAAGATGTTGTGTAAATGTAAGCCTTCCTTTATTAAATGAATTACTTAATCAATAATAAAGCCTTAGAATTGATGCCCCAACTTAGAGCATCAACTCCGTCCACTCATCATATCCCATTCAAAATTTGACAGAAGGCAACAACTCTGTGTGATGGAACAAAAACAGAAGTTGCTGGAAATGCTCAGCAGGTCAGGCAGCATCTGTGAATATAAAATCAGGGTTAACATTTCAGGCCTAGTGACACTTCCTCAGAACTCAGTTTTGAGGAAGGATCACCGGACCCGAAAAGTTAACTGATATTTTCTTTACAGATGCTGCCAGATCTGCTGAGCATTTCCAGCAACTTCTGTTTTTGTTCCTGATTTACAGCATCTGCAGTTCTTTTGGTTTTTAACTCTGTGCGATGATTTGACATGGCACCGTCAGTATATCTGAGCTCAGCATCATGATAACAAATAAAAAGGTAAGCTGAAACCATCCCGAAAATAATGTTAGAAATTAAAACCTGTTGCATAAATAGATTGGTGACTGTAGAAGAGTGAGATAAGGGAACTAATCCAGTTACATTGTGGTCAGATTGTTATGCCATGTCTCTTGGTTTATCTTAAATACGTCTCTGATTGCCAATGTGCACTTTTAAACAAAGACTATGGAGACAGTAGGATTCAGTTCACTGGACAGGTATATTGCAACACTGAGATTAGATGGATGATTAAATGATAAAATCAAAGGTCAATTTTCTAGCTGAACTTTGGTTCAGAATCTCCTTATAAGGGGTCTAACTTGCAAAGCATTTACACTGAAGTCACAGTCCTTTGTGGTACTTATTTTAACATCAATGAATGAGTTTCAAACAAAAGCAAAATAACTGCAGAGACTGGTAGTTAAAACAGAAAAAGCTAGAAATATACAGGAGGTCTGACAGCATTTTGGAGGGATATTAAGATATGAACAACTTTTAAGCAGATACAGGGAAAATGAGTAGTGGGTGACAATGGAAGTGAAATCTCATAAGGGAAAAGTCTGTGGTGCTAGAGGGCAAGATGTTAAGATGACAGAAGTGCTGATGCAAAGCAATATTAGGTGTTGGTGTGATAATAAAAGATAGCTGCAGATGAGGTATGGATGGTAACAGAACAGCATGAAGGAAGGAAGCATGTGAAACTTGGTGATAGAAGATTTCCATGTTCCGGAATATGGTAGGTAGACCCCATGATTGTGGCAACTAGAAATGCAAATATTTTTAAAAAGCACCCATTTAAACAGTTACAATTATATCAGTTAATTATTTAAACATTAACAGGTGTATTTACTAAAAGTAAAATACTGATGCATTTAGTTCACTCTGAAGTTTAAATTATACAGTCATTCCTTCATGTCCGTGAGGGTTCCATTCCTGAGAACCTCTGCGAATGATGAAATTTGCAGGTGCAGACCTTATTTAAAAGTAGGTTAAAAATAGTTTCAAAATTGTGGCTATGTGTTTTTCCCCCAGGATGCTGAATTTTGTTGTCACGTATTTCTTGATGCGACAGGTCAATTTGCGAATCCTGATTTCATTGATACAGAGGATTTACTGTACTTATCAAAGATGAAAAGGAATAAAAGATAAATCTACAGGAACAACTGTAGAAAAATCTTAGATAATATCCTCAACAATTATTAATGCCTTCCAAATAAAAGGTCACTTTTCAAACCAGTTTTAAACGTTAACTGCAATATATTAATGGCAAGACCAACATTCATCGATTAACTGTTTAACCATTTACTAATTTAGATCCCCAGTGGCAACCAGCAGGCTGTGTACCAATAGAGGAACCCCAACCAAGCACCAGCCTGTACCTCCTCCACTCTACAAGTTTCAAATGATCCTTTGCAATTACTTATGAATTGTGATAAAACTTAAGCCACAAAGCAGGAGGAAGGCAGTATAAAGTCTTGTGACTGACCCCATCCTCCTTCATTTGATGTAATCATGCCACAGAAGAAAGAAAATCAAAACTAAACAGTGGAATGAATTCAATGGCCAAAGCTCTCAAAGGCTTCAGACGACAGCATAACATTCCTTAACACAGTGGAGAAAGATTTAGAAATCATAATTCAGTATTACGCAGAAAGTTTGGAAAAAGTTCTGTGTAGACTGACAAGAGATTCCATTTATTGCTATTTATTGTGGCAACACATCATCACACTATAATCATGTAGGACATTGGAAAAGAATTAGGCTATTCAGCTTCTCAAGCTTGTTCTGCCACTTAGTCTCCTCATGGTTTATCTATTTATTGATTCTATTTTCGTACCTTACATTCTAATTTTTAAACCCTTTTCAAACAAAATTCTATCCATCTAAGTTTTGAAATTTCCAATTAAGCCAGCATCAAAGGTTTTTGGGGGGGACAAAAGATTGAGATTTTCGCTGCCGTAACATAAACCCAGTTTTCAACATTTGGAAATTAAACATTACATGGTCAAATGTTTTGGCTCATGGGTCACAAGGCATTTGGATAGATGTCAAAGTTAATAATTTTAACTCAGTGACCTGTTAAAATTACTTTTCTCAAACTCAGAATGACATCCTTTAGGAAAGCAGGTGAAATCCAATTTGTTGATAGCTGTTTGCTCAGCCTTAAGACCATAAGAAATAATAACGGAAATAAGCCTTTTGGCCCCTCAAGCCTGCTCCACCATTCAGTAGGATCATGGCTGATTCGATATTCCACACATCCCCTTTCCTGCCCTTTCCTTTGTTTTTATCCACAGGAACTGGATGGCAAAGCCAGCATTTATTGCCCCACTTCTAATTGCTCATGAAAAGCTATTGGTGATCTGCCTTCTTGAACCACTGACATCTGAATGGATGAAGGAACTTCCATGGTACTGTTAGAGTGGGTGTTTCACCATTTTTGCTCAGTGACTGTGAAGAACAATGAGAATAATTCTAAGTTAGGATGGCATGTGATTTGTACAGGAACTTGTATGTTGTGATGTTCCCATGCACTTGCTGGTTTTGTTCTTCTAGCAGACATTGACTTTGATGTAGTCTTGCTGATTTGATGCAGTTTTTCCTGTAGATTGTGCACAATGCTGCTACTGTGAATTCGTGATGAAGGGAGTGGATGTTGAAGGTAGTGTATTGGATGCCAATATGTGGGCTGTTTTGTCCTGGATAGTGTCATACTCCTTAAATGATGTTAGAGTCCTGTTCATTCAGGCAAGTGGAGCCTGTTCCATCACACTTCTGATTTGTACTTCTTTAGATGGTGGACTGCATTACCACCACAAAATCGCAACCCTCTGACCTGTGTTTATGTCTATGGTATTTATATGGTTAATCCAGTTAAATCTCTGATCAATGATAACTCACAGGGTGTTGATGTATAACAAAATACCACTTGGATTTACGTAGCACCTGATTGTAAATGTGAAGCAAGGACATTGGACTCAGTGTTGCTGCTCCAAAACAGCAAATAATCTGGAGATTTGCAGAAATCCTACAAACCCATCCTCCACACCTCCACACCCCAACTCCTAACTTCTGAATTCTCCTGGGACAATGTCAGCAATTTTAACATTAAAAAAAGTTCTAAGGTACTTTACAACTCAGATGTGCCAGCGCAGTAGCAGTCACTTTTATTATTGCTGTAGCAACGTAGGAAATTTGGCTAGCAAAATTGCGGATAGCAAAGTACACACACAACGTTGTAATAATGGCTAGATCATGTGCTTCAAGTATTGGCTGAAGAGCAAGCACTGGCTAGGACACTTTGAAATGTGATTTGAATTCTTTTACACCCTCAGTTTAGCATTTCATCCAAAAGATCATGTCTCCAACTGTGACAACTGTGTAATTCTAATCTTATTTAAAAAGAAGCCTAATCTGACCTTTTAAAATGGACACAGCAACTTACAAGATGGCTCCCAAGAGTCACTTAACTATATATTGCAGATTAATTTCAGCCAGAAAGATATGCAGATTGATATGTTATCTCAACATTAACCACAAAGAGAGACACTTAGAATTTGTTTAACCATTGGTCAACACAATGGATTCTTCAAAAGGCATGAAAATTCAAAGTTTCGGAGGAAAACTAAAAACACACCACAGTGGTACTTTATTACTTTGTGCAACAATTTTTCAACAAAAGTTAACATAGCAGCCATATTGGTCTATATAAAACTGGCTGAGGCATAATTTTGAATCGGACTCTCCAGTAAAGGCTCTAAAAAAAGCATTCTGAGAGACAGGGTTCTCAACCAAAGCAGGCTTACAAAAAGGGTGTTCAGAAATCAACTGTGGTTCTGCCAAGAGTTTAGCCAATCTCCCAGTCTTGGAGTTACAGTGGGATTTGTAACTGCAGAACTAGTGAAGAACAA